CTTACATACACATAAATTAAATAAAAAACAAAACAAAAAAACCCCAACAACAAATAGATAGATATAAAAGGAATAAATTCATGTAAAACATTAATGGGACCAAAAGGGCACATTGGGATCATGGAGCAAAAGGGGCAGGTGCTCAAGCCCCCTTAGCCCCCCCCTCTGCACGTGCCTGATACAGAGTTACATTTTCAAGTGCCATGATGATCTTCTGCTTATAGCTAATGAAACTATGAAATTTAATAATAAAATCTTCATCAGAATAGTAGAAAATGTTTTATACAGAAATGTGGCCTTGCTTAGAATGTATCTACTGTCTGCTTAAAGGCTATGTTCTAAAACATAGATTAATCAGTATGTTGTTTTTTAAACTTTCAGTTTTCCAATGATTATATGCTGATGAAAATTCATCAGCAAGTCATCCAGGTCATAGTCATTCCGTAAAAGTTTTAAAAACAATCAGCTGGACTTGGTTTACAAGATTTGAAGATGCTTTTGCTTCCCCTCCTGGAAGCTTCCTGCGAAACATCTTCAAACCTTGGAACCTTGGAACCTTCAAACCATTTTTTTGCTGATAGCTAACCATTGCTGGTTGGATTGTCTGAGGTATTTCCATTGCATCTTGTGTCTCTTATAGGCTTGAAGATGGCGTTTGAGTCAGTTTGATTGATGATAGGACAGCCTGTGTTTTTTTTGCCCTCTTTCCTGTTGCTGAGGTTTCTGTGGTTATGGGTGCTGAGTGGGCTGCTGTACATCACCATAAACAAAGGTCCATCCTCCACCCTGAACACTACAATGCCCTTGAGAATGACCTTAACAGCTTTAAGTAAGTGGACTCAAAAGTCTACATGCATTAACCGTGGTCCTCTCCTCTGATGCCCTACCCAGAATTAAGGAATGGTGCCCTTTGAGGTTCATCTGTGTCTTATTTTCCTCTAGACAATATTTTAAAAAGCTGGATTTTTACATTGATTTTCAAAACTACTACAAACACCTTGAATTGTTGCTGCAGAACAGCTTCAAAANTTCCTCTAGACAATATTTTAAAAAGCTGGATTTTTACATTGATTTTCAAAACTACTACAAACACCTTGAATTGTTGCTGCAGAACAGCTTCAAAAGTTGTTTATTGGAAGGAAAACCACACTGTTATTTCTGTTTTATTAAAATGTTCACTGAGTGAGTGGAAAATGCAGAAAGGAAGTGAGCCTGTTGGTCTGTTAAGACCACCTTAACCAAAGTGTAATTTGCAGTTTGCTAAGGATAGAAACCACTGTTTTTGCAGAAAACAACCACAACCAAAAGCAATACACCCTTAAGGCTATATATTTTCCAGACTCTTCTTTTACCACTGAAAAGAACACACTGTAAGCTAAAACGTTAAAGGCATTGGTGGTCAACAAACAAAAGGGTGAAAGGCTGTCTTATTAGGAATATTAAAGACCAATGACAATTGGGTAGAACACATGTATGTTTCTGTGGAGCAGGGCACACATACATGTACACGCTTGGGGAGGATGGCACCTGAGAAGAGGATTGATATCTTAATGTCGTTATAAGGACAGCCACCGAATTTGAAAACAGCATATGTCCTCCAGCAGTCTAAGCCTATCGCAAAATAACCATGGAGATAGATCAGGATAACCTGAGCCACTCTATTAGCTTTATAATAAGGAATGTATTGAGCCTAGTCTTAAAAGTAGACAGGATGTCTGTCTCTCAGACTAAAACTGCTAGTTGGTTCCACAGGAGAGGAGCCTGATAAATAAAAGATCTGCCTCCCATTCTACATTTAGAAATTCTAGGAATCACTGCAGATTGAGAGAGAAGTGAGTGTTTGGGACACCAGAAACAATTATATCTCTAATATCAGATGGAGCTTTATAGGTGAGAATGAGGATTTTGAATTCTATTCTTGTCATGATTCCTGGCATGAGTGCTGGTTTGATTCAGGATTCAACACACCTGTCAGCTCTGCCCTGTTTCCACTCAGCCTGCATCAGATTTTTCCTCTTACCTAACTGTATAACCAGCTGTCAGACCAGTGACTAGTGTCAGATTATTATAATAATAAACTGTTTAAACGTCTCTTGCTCCGGTTGAATCTGGGTCTTCCATTATCTGGTCATTATATTTCTGGATTTAACAGGAAGCCATTAAAAGGAAGCTAAAAATGGAGGAATATGTACTCATTTTAAAGTTTTTTTTAATCAGAACTATAGCTGCAAAGGGAAGAAATATAAAAATCTTTGAATGCAAGTGAATTTTATTAAAGATGTGAAGCTTTGGTCTCAGATAAGGAGAAGCATGAAAACCAAACAGTCAATTTGCACATGATATGGCACAGATTTCATTGGTCTGAAGCTTTTTCCACGCCTCCTGCACATGTAGGGACTCTGGTGTGGATATGTAGATGGGTTTTCAGAGAAGATTTACGACCAAAGCTTTTCCCACACTGATGGCAAATGAAAGGCTTTTCGCCGGTGTGGATGGACAGATGCTGATTCAAATCTCCTTTCAGGCGGAATTGCTTCCCACATATATGGCAGACGAAAGGCTTTTCGCCGGTGTGGATGGACAGATGCTGATTCAAATCTTGTTTCAGGCGGAATTGCTTCTCACATATTTGGCAGACGAAAGGCTTTTCGCTGGTGTGGATGGACAGATGCTGATTCAAATCTCCNTATATATATATATATATATATATATATATATATATATATATATATATATAGTGTATAGTTCTGCTGCAACAGTTATGTAATTAGTAAAATGTGGATATTGTAAAAGTTTTATAAAGTTCTTTGAAGCAATTCTACATATGGTAGTTAAGATGAGGAGAGGCTGGGTTGAAACAAGATTAAACCGGAAGTTTTTTTTAAATGATCGATCAACATTCAGAATTATTTCCAACTTTATTTATGTTCCCTCTATTTGAAATAGCAGAACTATAATGTAACTATGCTGGAATAGAAAGTTACAGCCAAACTTATCTTCCGCGTCTAATGCAAAGACTCCCAAACTGTCATTTTCTTCTTCTGTATCATTGTGATATTTGATAATCATGAGAGAGAAAACATAACACTGCAAAGATCGCTGAAATGAAGGATGCAGCTGCACATAAGGGCTGCATACACTATTTTTAATAGTTGTTACTAGTCCCATTGGGCTTAGCAGGGTTCAAACTGCATTTATTTAACAAAAGATCTCTGTCAGGAAAATAATGAGACAATGAGATGCCTTTTTACTGGAGACTGTGCGCCCAAATGACAGATTTCTACATCAGTAGAGACTGTTTAAAAAGGGGTAGGACCCTTTACTCTGTTTAATCATTTACGAAAGTCGTTTACTAAAGCTTGGGTGACTTTGAATCTTTCAAATATCTGGCTGTCCAAATACAGGGCCCTGTTCAAGCCATGTTTCTAAATGGTAGTTACTAAGTCAGACTTTTATCACTGGAAGAACATCTCTAGGATCAAAAGACAAATTTCCAAGCAGGTTCTAGAAAAAAAACACATTTATGCATTTATCTTTAGTAGTATTGATTTCTGCAACAGTTTCTTCATGGGTTTGCCTAAAAGTCCATCAGGCAGCTGCAGCTGATCCAAAACGCTGCTGCAAGTGTTCTCACTAGAACTAAGAAAGTAGAGCACATCAGCCCGGTTCTGAAGTCCTTACAATGGTTCTCTGTGGCTCATAGAATAACCTTTAAAATTCTTCTGTTAGTATATAAATCACTGAATGGATCGGCACCTCAATATATAACAGATTTATTGTCAGTGTATCAACCTCCTAGACCAAGCCTATGCTGTACTCCTAGAACTAGAAACACAATTCAAATTTGAACCCGGGTCGGCCATGCCGAGGACTAATTAATGCCTTGACTGAGGACATGGGTCGTGCATGCTAACCGCTGCTCCACCAAAGCACATCCTGTAAAGCAATTTAATTCTCTTTAAATTTAATTGAATTTATTTGTTCTCGACAAATAATTTTGTCTTTTCCTAACTTGACCTGATGTCTAAACTTTAGGCACTAGTGGTGTCTGAACCATCATCACCTCAATGGACCCATTCTCTCTGAGCTTTCACTCTTAACCAATCGGGTTGCAGAGATGATGTTCGGCCAGTTGGTGGTGATGCTAGACTGCTGTTTGGTAAAAGTCTCTCATTCGAATGAGCTAGAAGGCCACTTCAGTTGGGAGTGATGTACTACTGTTGTGTATATCTTGTGTAGATGCTTGTATTTACTGCAGTTTATCCAGGCTGGATGTGATGGTGACCACCATCTTCTTCTTAGGTCACACAGGTAGAGGGCATAATTTCTTGCCATGGGAAAAGACATCTCCAAGTTTCCAAATAGTCCATAATTGCCTATTTGTTTTAAATCAATAAGGTAGTTGTTAAGAAAATATATGTACTATATAAACAGTAGTCTGTGCGTTAACGTAACGCAGGAGGTCTGGAGATGCTTTTGTAACATTACACAGTCAATAGAAACTGCATTCTGTTTTGCTTCATCTTAAAATAGGCTTGACTGTCATGAAACAAGGACAGGTGGACCCAGTATTCAAGGAGACAGTCAGTGGGCAAGTTCAAAACGTTTATTTAATGAAGAACAAAACTAAAAGGGGAACTGGTAGGATCTGTGGCACACGGCAACTGCAGGTGGGGGTCAGGGCACTGCCCAATCTGAGACACTCTGTTAGTGGGAGAAACACAGGCAAGTGACCACGATCATCTGACAGAAGATGATTATCTGAGTTGGTCACTTACCTGGTTTAACAGTCTAGTCCACGAGTGTCCCCTGTGCTGCAGTTCCAGAGGTCATGCAGGAAGCCGATCCTGGTCAGGGATTCAGAACAGACAGGAACAGGCAGGATCCAGACCTCCAGGCATCCTAGAGCTCCCAGGCGGGTTCAGAGTCTGACAGAGTCCGGAAGCATGACCACCTGGTCACGCACAGGAGCAGACAGGATCAGGTGCAGACTGGGAGGCTCAGTGGAAGAGGGCAGCAGAGACAGGACGTGGAACCAGAACTTGATGCAGAACCTTTAAACTGGGCTCCTCCTTGGAGCCAGGCTTACTGAGATAAAAACTGAACCTCCCCGTGTACAGAGTCAAAAACCCAGAGGGCTCAGCAGGGGAGGAAAAGTGGATGAGCAGGAGACGAGACAAACACAAAACCCTCCTTCCACTGGCCGACAGGATCCAGGACATGAACCTTGGAATAAATAAAACTGAACAGACAAGCTGACAGAAAACAAATAATGATCTGGCCATGAATGCTCAGGCTGAACAGAATATAAACCAAAGGAAACAGGTGAGAGGAATAGATGATAATTGAGGAACAGCAAACAGGCCAGATCATGACATTGACAGCTCTTTTGCTGCTTTTTCAGATTTAACTTGACCAGTTGCAACGTTGATCAGTTTCCCAGAGATCATATGTCTGTCCGTTACGGATGCTTCATGCTCCTGATAAGATGTTGACTTTTTTCATTTACTGTCACAGTGCCTTTTCATGGCATCCACATATGCTGTGGTCACATGTCTTGTCATTAACCATCTTGTGAAAGCTCTCTTTTGTGATGTAATAACTCCACCCTGCATTTTTCCTGTAGTGGCTGATCAATAGCCACATAGTTAAAGCTTTTATCCTCTGACCGCAGAAGAAAAACAAACAAAATGTGTATGCTTCTGTTTATTCATGTTCAAGGGCATTTGTTTTTGCAACATAAATAGGTATGCACTTGGCATAGTTGGTCCCTCCAGCAGCTCTAAATCAGGGCATAACTTCACACATGCAATTCAGTTACTGCTGAAAGTCAGCTTGAAGCTTCTCACATTAGATCCTTTTTTGTAATAGTTTATGTATACTTGTCTTGTTTTTCCAGGAGAGCATGAACAGGTCCTTTAGAGGCCTTACCCCTCTTGCACATTGTTTCCCTTGAAGCAGTTGAAAGAAAAACAATCAATGTGAGAAAAGCAGTAATGACTAAAAATTCTATGAAAATGATCAAATGAAAGTCATATGTTGCTTATCTTTCCTGATAATCTTGTACCCTATTAGAAAAGCAAAAAGTCTAAATACATACATTTCTCTCCTTCCGCTTAATCTGTCAGGGTGGGGGTGGTTCCTATCTCCAGCGGTATATAGGTGGCAGGTACAGGTCAGCAGTCCACCACAGGCAACACAGAGATACACACACACACATACACTCACTCATTCGTTCTGCCATCGTAGTGAGGACCATGCATTGAGTCCCATTAACTTTCAGTCTTTTTTAACTATTTCCATGCCCTAACCCTAAAACTAACCCTAAACCTAACCATTACCAATGCATACCTCACCCTAACCCTAACCAATTGACACCCTAGGCCTAAACCTAACCATTAGCAAAATAGCATGTGAGGACCAACAAAATGTCCTCACTTTATAAAAACTGGTTCTCAGTCTGATGATGAAATTGGAAAAATGGTCCTCACTCTGAGGGCCAGACAGGTACACACACACACACACACACACACACACACACACACAAACACACACACACACACACACACACACACCTAAGGACAATTTAGAGATGCCAATCAACCTAATAGATATATTTTTGGACTTTGGAGTAAGCCGGAGTACCTGGAGAAATCCCACGCATGCGTGGAGAGAACATGAAAGCTCTTTGTAGAAAGGCCCTGGTGTGGGAATTGAACCCAGGACCTTCTTGTTATAAGGCAACAGTGGATGGCAACAAACAGACCACACCGCATCCCAAATAATAATCATATTATTATAAAGAATAGTATCTATTTTTTTTCTTAAAAATACTCTACCATAGTAAGTCTGTTGTAAAATGTACTTTTAATCGGTTACCTTCAGATTTCTGTTATATGATTTTTCTTTCATTTTTGTCCATCTTCTGTAAGCACACCCTAATAAACTATTAACAAATAAAACATATATGTACCATTTAGCACTTGGGAACAAAAAATATTTTTTAAGGCCCTCAGAAAGTACAAAAATATCCCTTAAAGTTGGATTATTAGCTCTATAGGGATTCACAAATCATAGTTTGCCTTTATACATACATATATATATATATATATATATATATATATATATATATATA